GCACCACGCCCTGGCCCCAAAGTCCACCTTCACCATTCCCTGGGGACCTCGCCACTCCGTTCCCTTGCTGTTCTGTTGCACCCTCTTAGTGTTTTGCCTCGGTGTGGCAGGATCAGATTGAGTACAATTCCCACACTGTGTCTCAGGTGTTGTCCCCTGTAGGGCTATGGGTAAGTGAGGGGCATCATGTTTCATAGTGGGGTCGGTTATGTGGTCCTCTCTGTGGACTGGCTGCTCTAATCGGGAACATCGTCCTCAAGGCCTGGTGGGCCAGGATGTACTCCACTCTCTCCTCCCCCTTCATCTGCTCTCTTGTGCTCCGATCAGATATGTCTCTCTCCCGGAACTGCAGATTCAATGCTGTCCTTTGAAATAAATTCTTCTGTGGGGAGGGGCAAGTGTCTACTTAGTAGTTGGGATTGGGGCCGGTCCCCCAGACCTCTCCACTGGTTCCCTACTCCCCTCCGGCATGTTGCATTCACATCCTGGAGCACTGGGTTGAAGTCTGGTCCCTCTTTCCCTGTGGAGATATAAACAATACCCTCCCCTTGGGTGGGTTAGTGCCCTGTGCCCCCACTAACCATTTATTTTTTATTATTATTTTTCCTTTCTCCACCTCCTTTTTAGTTGTCTACCATGTGTATCCCTGTATTTGGTCTGGTCCCTGCCATATTACCTGGTCTTCACCCCAGGAATGCTTGTATACAGTAGCTTTTTGCCTATGCCCCTTAAAACCTTTATTAAACAAAAACATCAATATGTGAAGCTATTGTTTATAAACATAGCCACCACGTAGATCTATACACGCATACCCTTCTGAAGGCAGCGTTTCCATCTCGCTCACCTTTGGGCACCCTTGAGGGACTCAAGTTGTTTTTATTTTGAATATTCTCTGGGTTTGAAGAACAGAGAGAAGTCTGAAGGGGCAAGATCAGGGCTTCAGTGGATGGAGTCAGGTTTCCCACTGAAATGCTCGTGGAATAGCCTTGCATGAGCAGGTGCATTGTCGTGATGGGATTTTTGACTTACATTGTAAAAATAACCTTTCTGCTCTCTAACCTTGAAAAGAAGATGCATAATGCTGTACGCTGGAGAGAAGACATAATCAGCTGATCTTTGGTGTCGCACTGGAACCAAGGTGACGAATTCATATATTTGAATCCTAAATTTCTGCTCATTTACTGAGAGAAAGCGGAGAAAGAACTGAGATCTGCCCATTCTTGGACTCTAGCTATGAGAGGCCTCCGCCGAATTCTAGCAACGGTTCAACCACCTTCTCAGAAAAGAGACCTCTTGGGAAAAATTAAAAGCCTCAAGTCTAAAGGTTTGGGCTCTAAACATGGGCCTGACAATGTAATTGCTGATTCAGATTCTCCAGTTATGAATGAAACGTAGCGAAGCGTTACTTGTGTGCCTTGCCATGACCACCTCGCTACAAACGAAACGAGTCATTGTTGTCGGGCACCCCGGTGTCGGTCCCGACCCTCAGGGACACTGCCTGGTCCTGCACCATCCTCACCACTGGTCTGTGAGTTAGAGGTACCGTGGTGGCTCGTGTGTTGCTGGAAGCTATGTCACTGGCATTCCCAATGCCCGCAGGCTTGCCCAAAAGGAACAGGTTTCAACAGAGCTTCCAAACAGAACAGACAAGGAAGAGGGAATCGGCCGCCCACTTCCGAGGAAGTAGCTGCTGAAAACCTTAAATGAGTTCCGTCAGGATAAACCTGAGCATTGATTAATTGCTTAGAGATAAAACCCTATACGGCAAGATCTTAAACAAAGGCACCCATATGCCATGGTGAGATGTAATTCATGCTTGAAAGAAAGCAGAGGAAGAAGGAGAAGAAAGAACAGGGAGGCCATGGGGCGGTGGACAACAGAGTG